ATCTCCAATGAAGGTTATGATACGTTGAATACCCGTTGGTTGATGTAAAACTTGAATAAATCTGTAGATAATTTTATTACTAATGAGCATTTTTGCTACTGTTGACATCATTTTTGGTGAGGTCTAGTATTCTTTTAGAGCTTGGGATCTAGTCATAGGGTTTTCGCTATTAACTATCCTAGAAGACTAATGATGAAACCCACTTCACTTAGAAATTTTTGCCACCTCTTGACTCGTTTGTGGAAACCCACCTTTTTGGTCTCAAATCCTCAAAGTTTGGTTGGTTTACTTTAGACCAATATGGGAAAGCCCCAAAATTGAGTTCACATAGGGTCACAAGTCATTAGGGAAGCCATTTATTACTTACACTCTCACCTCACTCATGCACACCACACATACATTCACATACACCACATCATATACCCAATACATAATTCACACACAACTAACACTCTAACATAATTTACATCATTTTTATACCTTACCCTACAATTCACATACATCACATGCACTATAATAAACTCTCACCACCAAATTCCATTAGATTTACCCATAATCCCTAAAGTAGCCCAAATTTCTCAAAATCATCTATTTCACTCGAGAATCTACCACGACCAAACCTATCCACCCAATCTACCCAAATATAAATTAAAACTAAAATACCCCTAATTCCAAATTCAAATCCAATTTCCATGAGCCCAAAATTTAAATTCATCACAAGTTCACTTTGAACCCAAATGACAACAAAATTGAACCCACATGCCAAATTCAATTTCACTAAGCCTATGTCTTAAATTCCATCATGAAAAATTCAAAACCTCATGAAACCCATCTTGATCAATTTTTAATACTATTAACATTAAATCAAAGCCCAATTTCAAGCCCAAAAATGACCCCTTCATATTAAAATTCAAAAGCCCATAATTTGAGCCCAATTTCCCAATCTCTTTAAACTCAAATCCACATGACACAATTCAACCAGCACATCAAATTTAAACTAACCTAAAGTCCAAAATTTTCATGATTAATTAACAAAGTTGAAGCCATGAATATATTTTAAAAGATTGGAATCCTCCCTCCCTCCCACCCCCCAACCACCTTCTTTGATGTAAGCCATGTAGGTTATACAAGAGCCATGGGCAAAGCACGTGGCTTAATCCAAGCCAGATGGAAGCCATGAAGCGTTTAACAAGGCTCATGTGAGCCATTATGATATAAATACCAAAAGAGGGAGCCTCTTTCAAGATCTTATAAAAAGTGCTTATCCACTCCAATGATTCACTTAAACCTAAAATTAATCTAAATCCACATGATGGGGACTTGACCACACTAATCATGCTGATCACCACAAGCCTTAGCAACCTTGGTGGATGAACCCAACTCAAACACTTGAAACCAAACTCCCCCAAAATCAATTCAAAACCTTTCCCTTTGATCCTACCCTTGAACACTTGACACATGCCAATTGACTTCACAAATCTCCACCTCTAAGCTTCCTCAGCCAGAGAGTGACTTCTTATGGTCTAGTTGGCCACCTTGGCTACTGGAAAACCCAAACTCAAGAGCAAAAACCTAAAATTAAACCCCACTAATGTGGCTCACCCCCATTGGACCTTGGTAACTATCTTCATTCCATATAAGCACCATTTTTCACCCACTGGCCAACCCAATTAAACCCTAATTCTTGGCATATAAATACACTACCCCTTGATGCCCAAAAGGGAGAAGTGCACAAACCTTAGGGAAAATCAACTAAAATCATTCCAAAATTCCATTACGCTCATTTGTGAGCTCATCCCAATCATTTTTAGCCCTTCGTCTCCACTGAGAAACCCTAATTTAAAAGCTCAAAACCATGACTTTTTTGGTCATTCCACCAAACTCCACAAAAATCCCAATTAATTTTTTGAAAAGCTTCCTCGTAGCCTAAATCACTTTCCCAATTGAATGCCCCCTTTCTTGAGCCCTCTTCAATAGCTCTAGACCACACCCGATCCAACAATTGGTTTATATCATACCTAGACCCATCCGCAGAGCAAATCAACACTTTGAGTAGGTTTGTGGGACTAAGGTGAAGGTTCTCAATCTTTGTAGTTAAGGCCTCACCTCTTGGACAAATATATAGCTCAAAAACTGCCATTTGTGTCCCATAATTATCATCATGGCTAGAAATGTTTAGGATTTATTAATTTTGTTGTTAGAAATGCACTATGATTTTTCCAATGTCAGAGAACATCCCTAACCTTAAAAGCTCTAAATATTTAAGTTAATCATCTCCATTATAAAAAAAAATATAGAAAATAGAATATAAATTATAAAATTATCAAATTAAGTTAAATGAGTTCATTAAAGTAAGAGAGACCTATGAAAAGCAAAAAAAAAAAAAAAAAAGTAAAAACTTATTTTTATAATATTTTCCTATTTTAAATCATTTAAAAGTTATAAAAATATACATGTGACTCAAAATATCACAAAAATCCCTTATCGAAGGAAACAATCCTAAAATGCTCCCACAAAATTTTCAAAAACATAAAAAAAATGTATTTTGACACAGAAATGTATTTTCTCATTATTTGAATAATTAGCCTAAAAAATAAATATAAAAAATAAAATAAAAATTAGAAAAACATAAATCATGTCTGATGAACTTACTAAAGTTAGGGGCACTTAGGAAAAAAAATTGGAATTAAAATAAAAATTATATTATTAATCTATTTTTATAATTAAAAATGATTAAAAATAATTAGAAATTCCAAAAAATATAAATATTTCTCAAAATGACAATTTTTTTCCTCATTAGAAGCAACAACTTTAAAGTGCTTTTATAAATTCATAGGTATTTGAAAATATAATTTGAGTACTTAAATGCATTTTATTATAATTTATAAATAATTGACTAAAATAATTCTTAAATAGAAAATAAAAATCAGAAAAATTTAAGCTTAAGTTCTGTGAGTTCAACAACGTGATAGAGATTGAGGAAAAATAAACTTATGTTTTTGAAATAGAAAGGTATTTTCTATTTATTTAATTATCAAAACAAGTTTAAAAATCATAAAAATTCAAAGACAATTCATAAAATCATAAAAATTGCTTCAAGTGGTCCACTGGCTTTCAGCAACAACTTAAAATTTTCCTAAGGAGAGAGAACAAATTTTGGATAATTAAATTAATTAAAATTAGAAATTTATAATTATGGATTAAAGATAATTATAAAAAAAATAACAAAAAAAATTTAAAATATAATTCCTCCTATGATGCTTAATTAGTTCATGATTAACAGGTCAACAAAGTTTCATGTTCATCTGGATAAAAATGAGAGAAGTAAACCTTAAGGGTATAAATGTAATTTTGGTTAAACCAAATGGGAATTGTGTGAAAACCATAACCTAATTTAATCAAACTTTCAGGTTAAACCAAATGGGAATTGTGTTAAATTAAGATGATTAACCTACTGACGTGATTGAGACACAAAGGCGAAGTAAGGGCAGTAACCCACTCACAACCTTTTCTACAATGGGTAAAATTGTAATTATTTAAATTGTTGGCTATAAGAAGGAATGAAATTTTGGATGATCTAAGAGTGAGGGGTATGAATTAGGAGATCAATAGACTACTAATTCGAAATCCCCACTCAATGGTTAAACATAGTTCAATCTTTCTAATGAGGAACAAACACACTTCTTATAAAACCTTTTCAAAATTACTAATCTACCATTAAGCACCAAGAGCTTGGTAGTGAATTAGGTTTACTCTAATATCATTTGAGGAATAGTTAAGAAACACACATAAGTAAGAGTGAAACATCTCAAAATAATACAAGCTCAAACCCAATTGAGGGACAAAAGTGTAAAATTCTCTAATGGTCAACCATACCGCTAGGGGTGCTTAATTATATAACTCTTAACATGACTAAGTGATTCATCATTTGGCTTACTCATGGGCTAACGAAGATATCAAGATTACACTAAGCACAATTGCAACCTAAAAGACTCTTAATATAAATGGAACGATTAACTCAACAACATAGTAATACCTAATGAACTTGAAATGGTCCAAGGGATTCTGAAGTTGTTTAGGGTCATCCCTTGAACACACTTACAAGATTTTGGATATTTTATAAGATATTTGGGTTTATTATAATTTGTTGAGGAAAATCGTTCACAAAATCTATGGACTCGCTAAGATATGATTCGAGGCCTTTCAGCTTAAGACACATTAATGAGGAATACCCTTCTACTACTTAACCTATAGTAAAACCCAACGTAAAAATTGTTCAGTTTCTAGCTCCCTTAGCATAATGTTATTACAAGGCTCTCCTTATAATCTCTATTGTTATTTTATATATTTGGTAGGAGAGAAATAAACTTCTCATAGATGGAATATTAAACACTCTTGGCCATCAGGTATTCAAGTGCTGTTTGATCGATGGATGTTGGTTTCCTACAATTAAATAACACATCACCAACTCTTTATTTTTTTTTTTCTTTTTTCATTCAGCAGATGAGATGCTTTCTTATACGGCCTTCAGGTATTCGAGTGCTATTCCCTTTTCTTTAAGAAAAAAATAGTGATAAAAATTTACCTTGGAGAGAACATTAGAAATATTTTAGAAGACGAGGTTTGAAGTCCTAAGAATTTTCTTTAGAACACTATGTAACCGGCTCAATTAATTTGGAGAGCTACATCACGATAGGTATGAAACATGTAAAATTTATTTAAAATTATATGTAATAAAAACATATGAATTTATTAAGAAAAAAAAATTTTTCTCTCAGTTTTCCCCACTAAACCACACAAGAAAAAAGGTAGATGGTTTCTGTAGCAGCAGTTGGGGAACAACGAAATCCATCTTTAATATCTCTTCTTTCCAATGAAGGAAAAGAATCGACATAATCGAACGGCTATCTTCTTCCATAAGAAAGCACATAAAGAAGAGAAATTAATACAATCATTAATTCTAATCAACTTGTAAAGCGTGTCTAACGCGACGCGTTTCTTCAGAAGCAGCAGTAAATTCTCATATAAATAATAGACTTCGAACCATTTCTTCGCATAATCTGATGGAAGAAGCAGCAGCAGCATCAGCATCGAGCTTGTTCGGTGAGAAAACAGGGAAAAATGGTAGCAGGAAGAGGGAGAAATGCATAACGCATTACTCCAGCTATCAGAGAATACTTCTTGTGGGTGAAGGAGACTTCTCCTTTTCGGCCTGCCTCGCGAGGGCTTTCGATTCTGCAAACAACATGGTGGCCACCTCCCTTGATGATCCAGGTTAGGTCATGAGATTCTATATAAAAAAAAATATAGCTACAGTCGGATTCAATATAATAAATTAATCTTTTTTAACATTAAACATTAAAAAATCAATTAATACTTTCTCTTCAACACCCGCTAAGCTTTATTTATGTGGAGCTTTTGATATAAATTTGCTTTTAAGGCTTCAAAGGTTTCAATCTAGTTTAAAGTTTAAGGTTTCAGTAATTCGGGACAGCTTCAACTTAATTTAAATTTTTTTGTGCAAAAGCTTCTTGAGCTTTTGAGATCAATTTGAACAAAAAATTGCTCGACGGTGAAGTGAATTCGCCTGCAATTATTAAAAAGTGACAAATTTAATTGCATATTCTTTTTCAAAACTAGATTGAAACTTAGAATCCCAAAGGCTTATGTGGTACAGAACAGATCATTAATCAATAATGTAATCAAAACATTATGGAGCTACAGAGTCTGCAAATGATAGGACACAAAGAACATATTACTCAGAACATTTCTCCAGAATATTTCAAATCTCTTGCATTTCTTCACTTGAAATATTAAAATAAATTTGCCTTTTTATATCAGATAGACTGTTGAAGAAGCATTGGACTGCCAGAAATAATCTCAGTGAGCTTAAGAGATTTGGTTGCACATTATTGCACGGAATTAATGTGAAAGACATGCATCAAGATAACTTCTTAAAAGACAAGCGGTTCGATCGAATCATCTTTAATTTTCCTCATGCAGGGCATGACCCAGAGCTTCGGGAAAAAGATGAAAGCCTCATTTTGTATGTATATTTAAATAATTCTAAAAATTTGTCTTTTTTTCTTAATAATGATTTATTTTAATCAATATTTTGAAATGTAGGAGACACAGAGAGTTACTGTGTGATTTCTTTAACAGTGCAAGATGCTTATTGAGTGAAAATGGCGAAATTCATGTGAATCATAGGGATGATAAACCATATGCTCAGTGGAGGATTAGAAGTTTAGCAAAGAAGGGCGGACTGATTCTGAAGGAGCTGGTGGAGTTTCAGAAGAAAGATTATCCAGGTTATCATAACAAGAGGGGAAGTGATATAAAAAGTAACAAGACCTTTCCTCTTGGTTTTAGGAGCTTCACTTTCAAGTTTTCATTGAAGAGTTTCACAAAAGTTTCGGCCGATGAATTATCGTTAGATTTCTCAGATCTGACGATTTAGTTGCTATAGTACTTCTTCCTTAGGCTTTCTTTAATTTATGTATGTCAAAGTTAAATTAAAGAGAGGAAATTAAAGTTTATTGTCTGTATGTGAGAGTTAAATTAAGTAGGACTTTATCTATTCCAGTTTATGAACTGATAGGATTTGTTCTTTGTTATAGAGGAGGCTAAATGGCTATAATATAGAGATTGTTTCGGAATGTAATTCTAGTACTTGACTAATAACAATTTTTGAATTTTAAATTATTTTAGGATAGTTGACCTACAATGTGTAATAATTATAACAATTTTTACTTTTAAGAAAATTAAGAAAATAATTTTTTTTTGAAATTTTGCTTTTCTTGAAAATATTCTTTTATGTATGGTTTTTCTAAATTTTATTAAATAATTAATTGATTTTGAGAATAATTCATATTATAATTATTTTAATTTACTATTGATCAAATTTTATCATTGTAATAATTATTTCATTAACTTTTAACTACTAATAACCGCACTTATATAAAAAAAAATTAACATATTACAATTGCAATCTTTTCTTTTGGATGATATCAAAGCTAAAAATTAATCATCTCTCATGCGGACCACAACTTTGATGAAGATGTTCAAGAATGATGTACAAGCCAAGGAATTCACACCTCAAATTCTAAAAGTGTTAATCTTTACATCAAATCAATTTACTATTGGCATCTTATTATTTAAATTTTCTCCCTATATATGATCACATGAATATTCACATTAATTTTTAATTTTATTTGTAATATTTTCTTAAAAAATATTTCAATGCCTGAGTTAGAATTGAATATTTCATGTGAATTTATTTTGGCATTATGTTGTTACTGCAAATGATCTTTTAAAGAATGAAAATACATCTAGGGCTGTCAACTTGGCTCGTTGTTCGCGAACAGCTCGTGTTAGGCTCGTTAAGCAGCTCGTGTTTGGCTCATTCGTTAAGCTTAACGAGCCGAACTTGAACAAATTCATGAGCTCAAAATATAAACTAGCCGAACACGAGCAAACATTTGTTTAATGTTTGCTCGTGTTCAGCTCAAATTGGCTCACAAGGAATTAAATAAATATAAAAATATTTTTATGCATACCACCCAATTCTTATATTACAGAAAAAAATATATTTTCATTTTGGGCATTTACAAACATGCCACCCATTTTTTTTGCCTGATACAGCCCGAACGAGCCCGATGCTTCGAAAAACATGTTTTTTGCAGCAACGGTATTGTTTGTGTTTTCATCGTTAAACACTGCAATAATACCACAATAATACAACAAATTTACTCGAATAACACCGCCGCTGAAACATGTTAATAACACCGCAATAACACTGTAAATTAACTTGATTAACACCCCACCAAAATATGCCAATAACACCAGAATAATACCTGAATAACACCACAATAACACTGCAATAACACCACAAACTTACTCATATAACACCGCCGTAAAAAACACTAATAACACAGCAGGTTACCTCAAATAACATCGCAATAATAACTCAAATAACACCGCAAATACAATGCAATTTTGTGGCAGCGGTGTTATTGTGATGTTATTTGCAGTGTTATTGTGATATTATTTGAGTGTTATTCTCGTATAATTTTAGGTAACCCTCCGTGTTATTGGTATATTTTGGCGGGGGTATTATTCGAGTTAATTTGTGGTGTTATTGCGGTGTTATTGTGGTGTTATTTGAGCTAATCCACAGTGTTATTGGTGTGTTTTTGGAGGTCGTGTGTTGACCTCACTTTTGGTTGAGGTTTAGTTTTTCCTCTTTAGTAGTC